CTGTACATGCATTAGAAACTGCTGAGGTTTTTGTACTCTTTATGGATGTTTCTAAAATAAATAGAAATTATAAAGAAATAATTATCACAGGGATAAAACCAGGTATGATACTGTAACGGAGCTCCTTGTACTCCGACTGAGTACCCTCTGTTGAAGGATGCTCCTAGCGCTTCCTGAGGACTCCAAGCACTGCAGCAGACACCACAACCACCGCAGACTCCGCAACCGCCGTATCTTGACTGGAGTCTCGCCGTCTTCCTTCCACCCTGGATCAGCTTCTGTCCTCCAGGACTGTGTGGGAAAGAACTCTTCCTTCCACCCTGTACGAACCTCCAGCATCCAGGACTGTGTGGTGAAGACCCCTCCTCCAAAGAGAGCGTGTCAGGAACAAGCTCTTAATAGAGCTAAGTGATTCAAGCTCAGGGGAGCATGCAGAGCATAGCAATCCCCAGTGTGATTATAACAGCTCCCTCCAATAACAAGACAAGGCTACATTTAGAGGGATCAATAAGAACTATCAAAACCTTTATTCCCTTGGGACCAGCCAATACAGTCTCCACAATAACATTGTTGTGAAACCTCAATAAAATCACAAACAGTCAAACCATATCAAGAAACACACAGTGACTTATCACAACACAATGGCACATTTTTAAAGGGGTGGGGGGAGACAAAATCTAACAGTAAATATCTCACCTGCCTGCAGAATTAGCAATATGCAAATCTACCTGAATATGCAAATGAACCAGTCTTGCAATTCAGGTAGTGCATATTGCTGTTGCTACTAACAGAGGGCACTAGACCAGCTCCATAGCCAAACCCACCTAGTTGGTAGCAAACCTCAGCAATACAAGAGAGCAGGCAATACATTACACAGTACACACACACACACACTATAAACAATTACATTACACACACCCTGCACCTATAATGGGTACAGGGGGACTAAAACATAAGATAAATAAAGCAGTCTGTCTGAAGGTAGACTAGGGGCTTTAAAGGCAAATACATGAAAGAGTCATAGTCAAAGGGGAGGAGGCTGGCAAGCAAGCCTCTCCAGTACCAAGTGGCGAAGGGCACTTCGTCACAGATACAACAGCATATAACATTATATAAACACACACCTGCTTTTAACCCCTTTAGGACGGAGTCAATAGTACACGTTCTGATCAAAACAAAACGTAAACAAAAACTGAGAATGCACTGTCAGTGACCATCCCATAATAAAGAGGACATTGTGAATTATTTCCATCTGATTTCCTGCCGGTGTGAGTTACAATACAGAGCTGCAAGAAAGGGTTGTGGACTTCCAATTGGTGATTGGGGATAGTACATACATCTAGGCACTTTTGGCTTTTTGATAAATACCCAGTGACATAAGGTTCTTATAGTAGGACCCTCTCTCCTTTTACCTAATTTTTCTCTTTTCCATTACCTAGCATGCCGATCTTGGAGGCTGCACTGGCATATAGTTAGTAGGATCACTGTTACATTTTTTATTGTTTATTTTCTCTTTATTGTTTATTTTTACTATTTTTATTTTTATTTTTTGTTATTTTTATTTTTATTTTTATTATATATTTTTTATTTATTTTGATATTTATTTTTATTTTATTGTATTTTGTATATATTTTTTATTTCATTTTATTTATTTATTTATATATATATATATATTTTTTTTATTGCATTCTTACCTTTCTGACAGTGCATTCTCATTATTCACGAGGGCTCATTACACTTTTAGTGCATGTTTCAGCTGCACAGTCTTTTTCACTTTTCATTGATTGTCTCATTTCTAGAGGTCAGGCAGTATACTCACATTTTTTACTACATTATTTCACACACACACCGGAGAATGATCTTAGTAGCACACACACACTCTTCTCTACAGTGTTTCACATACATACCGTAGATTGATTTAGTACAGGATTTTCCCATTCTTGCTTTATTTTTTACTAGTTTGGAATTCACACATACTGATTTGTCACTCACCATTTAATATTCCCTGTGTTTATTTATTTCACCACACACATGCTGATCACTCTACACTATAAATGGACCCCAGTAGATAAAGGGTCAACATCACACACACTCTCTGTTATATACTGACAACTCACATTATGCTAAGCCAGCCTGTTTTCTGTAATTGATGCCTGTTCTTATTGTTTAGGTTTGTGATTTGGCAACACACATGGCTTTCCCAGCTAGGGTTCCCAATTTAATAAGGAGTTAGGTAGTATTTGAGTTAGCTCTATTAGGCTACACAGGTCCACAGTTACCAATACACCAGTCTTTCCAACTGAGTCCCTATATGAGCAATCATTTCTAGCCATTCCTGGCTGGCTCACTCTAGTATCCTACGATCAGTTAGGCAGTTGCTTAGACATTTATGAAAACACATATGCAACATATAATTTTATTTATCCTCCGTATTGATTTTAAATCTCTGCCGACATTTGGTTTTTAAACAGCTGTGCCGTCTCTAGGCAACACATGGTGATTTCACCACACGCCACTTTACGGCAATTAACATAACGATCCACAATTTGCGGCTTCACTCATATGGCAGATTGGACACACAGGGAGCACTTGGTGATTGGGTAAGTTTAACAAGCGCTTATGTATATATTTGAGGTTTTTGTATATGACAGCATCTTGATAAAGACCGCTAGACGGTCGAAACGTCGATTTTTTTTATTTTTTTTTGTGCTATTTGAATACAGTAATTTGATTTACCAAATCCATGGAGTGCTCTCATTTTTTGCTTTGTTTATAGTATTTTGCACAGAGAAGCACCTGGTATGTATTATTATTTGGGAAGAGTGCCAGAAATTGTATAGTTTCTAGATATTGAGTGTGTTGTGCCACACTTTCTGAGCACCTCCAGCTGAAAAATATCTTTTGTTAAATTTACACCTTTGGAGTGTGACCTGGCTATCAAGTATTAATATGGAGGATTTTTTGTTGAGGGCTGGAGCCCTAGCTGACACAGCTGAGACCATTCAAATTACAGCGCAAGAAGCTGAAAGCATACTTTGGCCTAACACCACCGCGGATCTTACCCACACGGATTCCATTAAGGATCTGTACAATGATCTTATGAAGTTAAAAAGACGAGAAGTAGACTTAGATCTGCATGGAACTTTTATCTCAGATTATTACCGAGCAAAACGGATTCCAAGAGGTTTCAGGGTAAGAAACTCTCCCACTATTGGGAGACAAAATCCGGGGTTTTGTAAAAAATGGATTGGCATAGCCAATAAATGCTCGCTTGACTGGATGATTATAGTGGTAGAGGAGGTAAAAAACGAATTAGTTTTTACCAAGGAGTCTATTAACAAGTTTGAAATGTCGCATGTTACAACGTTAAACGCAACCACATCCACCCAATATATGGTGAAATTACAGGACGAAATCATGCGATATAGAAATGATCTCATAAGATTCAAAAAACAAAAAGTGGAAAAAGTGGAAAAAGTGAATTTCGACTATACCCACCATCAGGTATACCATTGGATTAGTGGAGAAAGACGTAGACTACCATTCCAACGTAACAGACAACGAACACGCAAGCCTCAATTCTTATCCATTGACACGAGCTCAGCAGACTCCACTTCGGAAACAGACACCAGAGCTACCTCAAGCCAAGGAGGGCTCATCAGAGATACACAACAAACCCAATCATCAACTTTTTTAGGGGCGGAACGACACACAAACGATCCCCCTGGCAAATATCAACGCACAAGGAGAGGTTCAAAAGACGCAGATTTATCAGAAGAGGACAGAGGAACAAGATCTATAAATACCAGATCCAAACCACCAACCAGAAGGACATAAATCCAGTCTTCAACCTATCTTCCAAGACGCTGACCAATGCCCACAATCAAGTACTATCCAAAGGACTTACATTCGTTCCGACGGCCAAACCAGACGCATTTAAAACCGGGGTTGAATTGTTCAAAATGAACAGAATTTTAAATATGCAAGCTACTCGTGATACCATGACAGTAAGACCATCCTCATCATTCAAACTCAAAAGCGTTTGGGAACCTAAATACACACATCATGCCATCAAAACCTTCTCCACTATTTTGAAAACTGACATGGACATCATTCTTGCACAACAACAGAAGAAACCGGATAATTTAACCCAGGCAGAAAGAACTGCTCTCAGAGATTTGAGCAGGGATGATCAACTTGTGATTCGAGCAGCAGATAAAGGGGGAGCAATAGTCCTACAGGACTATACGGACTACAGGGAAGAAATTTTAACCCAATTATCTGATACCCAGACATACAGAAAGCTAACTTCTGACCCCATGAGCAAGATCAGCACCAAAATACAGGAGTGGATAACATTGGGAACAGCAGCAAATTGGCTGGATCACAGCACAGCGGAATATTTGCTCAATACACATCCGAAAATTCCGATCCTTTACACACTCCCTAAGATACACAAGGACGCAAAGAAACCACCTGGGAAACCAATTGTATCCGCTCGAGGAGGTTTACTGGAACCCATAGCTAAATACGTGGATTTTTATTGTAAGTCCACAGTCTCCAGATTATCCACATGCCTAAGGGATACCCAAGACTTCCTTAATAAAATCACCAGCTGTGAATTAAACGACACACAATACATCTTCGCCACGGCAGATGTAAAAAATTTGTACACGGTGATTCCTCACAATATGGGGATGGATGCGATGCGAACACTGCTATTACAATCAGATGTCTATGAAGGTCCCCCCATTGAATTTTTGTTAGAAGGATTACTACTTACATTGACAAACAATTTTCGTTTTGAAAAGAATTTCTACATTCAAGAGATGGGAACTGCGATGGGATCGGCAATAGCTCCAACATATGCGAATAGTTTTATGTATGCATATGAGAGCAGACACATTCTGTCCACATATAAGGAACATTTGATACAGTATCACAGGTTTGTGGACGACATCTTTATTTTATGGCAAGGCACGGCAATAGAATTGGAGAAGATGATTGAAGAACTGAACAATTTAAACTCCACCATTAAATTTACTTTGACGTACAGCCCAGATAAAATCCAATTCTTGGATGTGGAGATATTCCGGAAGGATCGAAACATTGGACATCGATTATTTAGAAAACCCTCAGACCGCAACACGCTGCTACACGCCAACAGCGCTCATCCCAAAGCCCTAAAGGAGTCTTTACCTATTTCGCAATACTTAAGAGTGTACAGGAATAATTCGGAGGAAAGCACATGTAAAACTCAACTAGAGGACATGACCAGATCCTTTGTGGAACGAGGATACACATATAAAGTGCTCCAAGAATGTCAAATAAAAGCAGAAAATATATACAGGGGCATATCTACTAAACAACTTCAAAATCTGCCCAGAATTACGATCCCTTTATCATACCACACGGAGAGCCAGAGATTTTCCCACAGGATTAAAGGGAGATGGGACATCTTATCCAGCGACAGAACACTTAATCCGTTTTTTTTACAGAAACCAAGGGTCGCATATTCACGCAACTGAAACTTGAAGGACATTTTAGTAAAAACAGATATACCGAGCCAATATAATACACGAACATTGCATACCAAGAAAGGCTGTTTCAAGTGTTCAGGTTGCGTCACCTGTGGACACATGCTGACAGGCTCTTCCTTTGCACATCCCCACACAGGCAAAAGAATCCAGATCAAACATCGACTAACCTGCATGAGTGACCATGTAGTATACCTCATTTCATGCCCATGTGGGAAATATTATGTGGGTAAAACAGACCTTACAGTAAGGGACCGTATTCGTGGTCACAGATCAGGAATCATGACGGCGTACCGGGATGGGAAGACTGATAAACCTGTGGCAAAACACTTCCTAGATTTCCAACACCATTTACCCACGCTTAAGTTCATTATGATAGACCACATCCCACCGCTCACAAGAGGAGACGATAGATCAAAGTTACTTTTACAAAGGGAAACCTTTTGGATCACACATCTGGATACGGTCCAACCGAAAGGATTAAATGAATACAACTCATTTAGTTGTTTTTTGGATATCCGTTGATATCGCTGAGCAGTAAATGACTTGGATGCGAGATTTTGACTCAGGATTTAATGACCATCCCATAATAAAGAGGACATTGTGAATTATTTCCATCTGATTTCCTGCCGGTGGGAGTTACAATACAGAGCTGCAAGAAAGGGTTGTGGACTTCCAATTGGTGATTGGGGATAGTACATACATCTAGGCACTTTTGGCTTTTTGATAAATACCCAGTGATATAAGGTTCTTATAGTAGGACCCTCTCTCCTTTTACCTAATTTTTCTCTTTTCCATTACCTAGCATGCCGATCTTGGAGGCTGCACTGGCATATAGTTAGTAGGATCACTGTTACATTTTTTATTGTTTATTTTCTCTTTATTGTTTATTTTTACTATTTTTATTTTTATTTTTTGTTATTTTTATTTTTATTTTTATTATATGTTTTTTATTTATTTTGATATTTATTTTTATTTTATTGTATTTTGTATATATTTTTTATTTCATTTTATTTATTTATTTATTTATTTATATATATATATTTTTTTTATTGCATTCTTACCTTTCTGACAGTGCATTCTCATTATTCACGAGGGCTCATTACACTTTTAGTGCATGTTTCAGCTGCACAGTCTTTTTCACTCTTCATTGATTGTCTCATTTCTAGAGGTCAGGCAGTATACTCACATTTTTTACTACATCATTTCACACACACACCGGAGAATGATCTTAGTAGCACACACACACTCTTTTCTACAGTGTCTCACATACATACCGTAGATTGATTTAGTACAGGATTTTCCCATTCTTGCTTTATTTTTTACTAGTTTGGAATTCACACATACTGATTTGTCACTCACCATTTAATATTCCCTGTGTTTATTTATTTCATCACACACATGCTGATCACTCTACACTATAAATGGACCCCAGTAGATAAAGGGTCAACATCACACACACTCTCTGTTATATACTGACAACTCACATTATGCTAAGCCAGCCTGTTTTCTGTAATTGATGCCTGTTCTTATTGTTTAGGTTTGTGATTTGGCAACACACATGGCTTTCCCAGCTAGGGTTCCCAATTTAATAAGGAGTTAGGAGTATTTGAGTTAGCTCTATTAGGCTACACAGGTCCACAGTTACCAATACACCAGTCTTTCTAACTGAGTCCCTATATGAGCAATCGTTTCTAGCCATTCCTGGCTCACTCTAGTATCCTACGATCAGTTAGGCAGTTGCTTAGACATTTATGAAAACACATATGCAACATATAATTTTATTTATCCTCCGTATTGATTTTAAATCTCTGCCGACATTTGGTTTTTAAACAGCTTTGCCGTCTTTAGGCAACACATGGTGATTTCACCACACGTCACTTTACGGCAATTAACATAACGATCCACAATTTGCGGCTTCACTCATATGGCAGATTGGACACACAGGGAGCACTTGGTGATTGGGTAAGTTTAACAAGCGTTTATGTATATATTTGAGGTTTTTGTATATGACAGCATCTTGATAAAGACCGCTAGACGGTCGAAACGTCGATTTTTTTTGTGCTATTTGAATACAGTAATTTGATTTACCAAATCCATGGAGTGCTCTCATTTTTTGCTTTGTTTATATATATATATATATATACGACGTACACACACACACTCACAGACACATTCACAGACACACATAGTGTACAGACAAACACACACACACATTCAGACACACATATACAAATTATTATTTTTTAATAAAAAAATGTCCACCCAGCCTCCCTACCTGGAGTGCTCTGGTGGACTTGTCCCTGGGGTCCAGTGGGGCGGGCGCATGTCTACATCTCAGCCGCGGCAAGATAGCTGTGTGCTCTCTGCTTCCTCTCGCCACGCAGGCTATCTACAGTAGCTGGGAGACGGAATATGACGTCATATTCCGGCTCCCAGCATCAGCAAACAGCGCGTGGCGAGAGGAAGCAGAGAGCACACAGCTCCCTCGCCGCGGCTGAGATGGAGGGGGGGGGGTCCATCACCTCTTGCCCCCCCCATGTCAGGGGCAACACGGGGGAGGAAGAGGGGCATTTGGGGGTGCTAATTGCCTGCAGGAACAGCGTTCCTGCTAAAAAAAAAGTGCAGGAACGCTGTTCCTGCTGGACTCAATCCATAGGAGTGCCGCGGGGATTAGGGTTTGCCCAGGCACACCCGGCACTCCCTGTGCGCACGCCTATGCTAGAAGTGTCACTGGTCACCAGTGATGGCTACAGAGATATTAGCTGTGCCTATGGGAGATTAAGCAATCTCATGGGAACCTCCATTTAACACAGTATTTTTACGCATGCCTGTACAAAGGACTAGCCAAATGAAAATGGTTGCACCCACAAGGGACAGGTTCAGCTAAGTATATCTCAACTTTCCTGGCCACTGGACAAACAGCAGCAATGTGACCATTGGGGGTCTTTGCAAATTAAAATGACAGTGTGCTTTAATTGACTTGGTTTGTATCCCTAAGAATATTTTTATTAGCGATGCCACAGTACTTTGTAGTTTATTGTTTCAAAGTATTTGTGAGTTTACCTGGAGTTGTGCAGCAGCTTGTATTATTGTGTTCATTTTTTATTCGGTCTCTCTCCACAATTCCCTTACAGATAAGTGAAGTTATTTTCATTCTCTTTTCACTATTCGCATATTAACATAAGTATTGTCCTTAGTTTTGCATAAAATATATTTTGCCAATGCACATTATTTTAAATAAATTCATATCTAAAATCAATCTTAGATAGTTTCATTTTCCTAAAGTATTATTGCACATTCATATTTTTTTTGAAATTTTAAACCCTTGCATAATAAGACAACTCTTGAGTGTTTTTGTTTTGTTTGTTTTTTTACACTTCTTCCCCATCAAAGGATCCTTTGTACGTGCAATACTTGACATTTTGTACTTAGTCATGTTCCACAGACTAGCTGACCGTCATTCTTTCTTACTTTTCAATAAGTCTCGAATTTTGGCAAGCTTCACTCCAGAGAACTACGGTAACTTTACATATATTACAACAGCTGGCATAAATGTAAATGTAGCAAGCTTATACAGCTACTTAAAGGAGTACTCCAGATTACAACTAACCTTTTATTTTGTAAGGCATTATATAGATAAATCATTAAAATAACTAAAAAAATAAGTTAAATGTAAAATAAAGGAAAAAACGTTCTCTGAACATGTAAGGTATTTGCTTAGCCAATTTAGTGCCTTCCGTTATTTTTTATGGATTGCAAACAGCTGGGCATGCATAACACATTACTGCAAAGGCTTAAAGGTAAACTATAGTGCCAGGAAAACAAAGTTATTTTCCTGGCGCTATAGCTCCCAATAGTGCCCACCTCTGTCACAAAAACCCCTACTGTAATTTTCCTGATTCCAACATCGATGTCCCTTGGCACTGGTTCAGGCTCCACCTCCTCTCCTCCCCGCGAACATCAGCCAGCGGGGGGAGACCTAATGCACATGTGTAGAAATGGATGCAATCGCATTAGGCCTTCCCCCATAGAAAAGCATGTATAAATGCTTCCCTATGGGGTTTTACTTGACAAATTACCTCAGGAGTAAAATGAGGATGTCCAGCATCAGTTAGGTGACCAAAAGTCGCATGATGACATGGAAGTCTCTCTAGTGGCTGTTTGGTGAACAACCACTAGAGGTGGAGTTAACCCTCAAAGGTAATTATTGCAGTTTATTAAGGGATTTAGTAAGGAATTTAGAGCACTAGACCCAGACAACTTCAATTAGCTGAAGTAGTCTGGGCCTGAGGAGGACAAGGTGAGTACTCCATCTCTGAGTGACCAGGATAGAGCCTTCTGTTTCCTATCTGTATTTGATTGCATGTTCTCTTAACTTCTTGGCAGTTGGGACCAACTGTCGCCTCTCTGCTAAGACAGCAAATGGGAGATTCACCGAACAGCCCTCGAAATATATGGTTCCCAGTGATCTAGAACAGGGCATGATGGTGGAATGAACCACAACATCCCTGGTGATAACTATAATGTCTTTAGTGGCCCATGGCTTCCCATACCTGGAATGCTGAGAACAACATGGAAGGGTCAACACCTCCTTTCAGGCCCATAGAGCCTTCGTGCAGATGGCAGCAGTGCCTCCCCGCCAATTCCATGTATGCAAATGTTTCTGTGTCTGTGGCAAGTTTCCAGCGTGGTCACTGTTCGCTGTAGCCTCTGGACCTGTTGGGATAATCCTTCCACCTGGTTCTTGGTACTCTGCATCTGCTCGTCTCTTACGCTCTCTGGTTTCAACTTCTATGATTTTCTAGTGGATAATGTTCAGTTCTTTCTGCATGTCCAGGAGGTCTGCCTTTCAGACCATCCACATATCCAGCAACAGCTTCTTGATATCACCCTTTGTAGAGGGAGAGGAGTCATCATCCGAGAATATCTCTTGATAGACCACCCAGGATTGAGGTGAGTAACTCCTCATCTCCCTGTGACCCCTCTGA